GGGTAATGACAGGGAATAAAAGCTAAAGAAAATTATTTCATTTCAGGGACACGGGTCAAAAAGATAACAGCGTACATGACGATTTCAGGGTGGTGGTTTACCAGCTTCTCCTCTGTTTCTCTCTATCCCCCTCCATCTCACAGAGATGACTCCACCTCTCTGGTGACGGTAATCTCGGCGTCGGACAGGGGGGGCACCTGATCGCCTGCAGCCTGCTCGAGGGTCTCGCTGATCACCTCCAGGGCAGAGGCGGCAGCAGCCTTTCCGTCGCCGATGGCCTTCATATCTTTTTTGTCAGCAGAGCCGCAGCACAGCTTGGGGGCGCACTGAGTCCGACAGGAGAGCTCACAGAGGGAGTCTCGAGACTCCGAGCTGAACGTGACAAACTCGGGCTGGATGGTGGTGGCGTGGATTCCCTCGTTGTGGAAGAAGTCCTTGATGCGCTTGGCCACCTCCATGTAGGAAGTGGGGTCATGGCACTTGATGTGCGCCGTGGCGATGATGCGGCTGCCGGCCAGCTGCCAGATGTGCAGCTCGTGGATGGCCAGGACACCCTCCAGAGTCAGCAGCCGCTCATTGAGCCGGTGCATGTTGATCTGCTTGGGCACGGTCTGAAGCAGAATGAGGGCAGACTCTTTGAGCAGTGGGTAGGTAGTATACAGCAGGATGCACACCATGATGATGCAGAGGGAGGGATCCAGGTAGAGGACCCAGCAGGGGCCGGCAAACTTCATGGCCGACATAGTGGGACCCTCCATTAGGTCGACCAGCGTGTGGTTGACGTGCTGGTGGTCCGTGGAGTGGCTGTTGATACAGGGGTTCATACACGTCTCGCCTTCTATACAGGGCTGCCACACGAAGGTGAATATTATAGCAGTGACCACCACAATGACAGAGCCGAGGGCGTCACCCAACACGTGCAGGAAGACCCCACGCATGTTGAGCTGCGACGTATCTAGATCATGGTCCATGTCCTCAAAGTGGGGATTGCCATTCATCTGCACATCTGTGCTGTCTTTACAGCTGATTTCTAAAGATAAAAAAAACAATGGTTAGTTTAGTTTACTGGAACTTGAAGTTAACTTTTAATAATTACCTGGTCTACGACACTGATATACTAATACAATTTCCAAAATGAAGAAGTTGTAACAAAAATATAATTTTGACTGTAAGAAACAGGACAAACAACAAAAAGATCATTCTGTTGACAAAACAAAGCTGTAACAAATTAGCCAGCAATATGGGGATTCCAAGAAGATGTTATCCGTGGCAGCCAGTTACTCAATTGCTCAGTTATGTCATTTGGGGCAAAGCACAAACACATTTGAGACTTGAATCAAAGCAGCCAGATGTCAGCCTGCACTGTTATCAGTTGACACGTGTTGGAGCTGCTCAATTCAAAGTCAGGAGGAGGAGGACATTCTGTCTGATAATTTGACATATTAGTGTTTTTCCCCCTGCTCAAGCTTTCATTGTGGAAGACAACAGGTCACTGAGCTGGTGCTATAACTGCTCAGGTCCACAAACATGAGAATCATGCCATGCTGGATTATATGTAAGAAAACTACCAGCATGTGAGATACACTCACATCAAGCAAATGTAATTAGTCATTGCAGGCTGGTGGTAGCATATACAACTCGGAGGGAATTGCACCTGAGTAATGGCTGCTCTCTTCCATCCCAGGACACTGCCCGGTCATTTATCAACAGCTAATGGTGTTGCTTGGGCAGTCGGCTCCATAGTTACACAGATGTATGACCCAGTAACAGCCATCAGTGTATGGAGGGGGTGGGGGGTATTATTGAAACTGGCAGGGCCTAACAGTGTGGGGGGAGAAATGTCCTTCTGTATGGGTTTAACCCTTCAGTGGACGAGGAGGAAGCACAGCCGCAAACTCAAATTGCTGTCTGTTCCTTTATTGTCAGCACGCAGACACAAACCTCTTAGCTGACCACCACTAGCAGACCAAATGATGAGGGGTTTATAACATATTCGTGTAGCTTCATCACAATTGAATGACTCCACTTGCTGTTTATGAGAAATTGCGGGAGGTAAGAGCTGAAGGAATTTGGAAATATGAGACACTTTTACAAGTTAAAACGTGTTCAAAAAGCGGAAGTTGCTTGGTTGAATCTGACAGCCGTTTCTAGAAATGTCTATGTATAAGCCATCTGATGATGATGATGGTCATTCAAACAAAGCCTGAAACCTGATGCTTTGCCTGTTTATGTCACTGAAGCTGGCCACGATACCATGGATTAAATGACCCTCCAATACATATCTGATAACAAACACATTTGTCTCAATGCTACGGCTATAGATGAAACAATGAGGATTAGTCACTCAGACAGGCTGTCCCCGGGGAACACTGGAGATATATGTTTGTACTGTTGTGCAATCTGCTAATAATGGAGACAAAGTCTGGCACATGCTGTCATGTGGGACACAATGAGGCTGGACTCACACGGTTAGGACTTTTTATGCTGACATGCACTCTGTGACATTGCACAATTTATCACATGTAAGACAAATAATGCAACAAAAACAAATCTAAAAACACAATGAATACAGCTTCAACAGTTTATACTCACCATTTTGAGGTCTCACGTCCCCTTGGCTATTGTGATTTCCCACCAAGTTGTTAGTCTCCTCTCCTGAAGACCCATTCCCAGAATTTTCGCACTGGCTGTTTTTACCCCTCTTGTTCTTATTTCCATGAGAGTGGCCTCCATGGGAGTGTCCGTGTCCGCTGCCTGCGTGTCCGTGGAACAAGCAGAGGCCGAGCAGGTTGATCAGCAGACCCCCGGCACCGACCCCGGCGACCACCAAGGGGCTCTCGATGGCATGCGGCTCGGTGAAGCGCTCCACAGCCTCCAGGACGATGGTGAAGCACAGCGCCGTGAGGAAGATGGCGTTGACCAGAGCCCCCATCACCTCCGCCCGGATCCACCCGAAGGTGTTTTTGTCGGTCGCATGGGTTTTTTCGGCGAATCTCACCGCCACCAGAGCCACTATCAGCGCAATGACGTCCGATAGCATATGAAAGGAGTCCGAGAGCATCGACAGAGAGGAGGTCATCCGGCTGACCACCACCTCCACGATGAAAAAAACAAAAGTCAATGAAAGCATGCATAGCAGCCGGACACGATTAGGCTCGCAGGCCATTTTTCCTAACTAGCAGTCCTTTGTCAAAAAAAAAAAAAAAAGGTTTCCCAGTGTTTTCAGCTAGCTAGCGTTCAACACAAGCTAACAATTTACGGTAAGCTAGCTTGCTCCCTGAGACAATACGATCGATGCTAACAGCGTCTTCACACACTGCTGTTATCCAGCGACGGCAGCATCACCAGGGTATATATAAGAACAACCACAGGCACACATTAATCCAACCGAGTCTAGTAACCTTGTGAGTAGACCGTAGTCGACACCAGCATATTCTAGAAACGTTTGCCGACGAGCTCCCGTTTGCAGACGGCTAAAACTTTGCACCCGAGCCGGTAAACTTTCCACACGGACCACGGCACAGTTGGGCACGCCCAGGGCAATTCCTATTGGTAGAGAGGACACATGCTCGAATCTGATTGGTCAAATTGTGCAACTCTCGCAAGTGGGCGGAGGAAGCAAGCCAGACAACAGCCGTTGCTACGAACGCTAACCACAAACGTACTCTCGCGATAACTTCACAAGATGAATTTACACTTCATAATGATTATACATTTTCATCCTAATTCAAGACCGCATGAGACAAAAAAACACTTACACAGACAAATAAAAAAAAATTCTTTAAAAAAGAATAAAACAGAATAAAACATCAAGTATCCTTAACATAAATAAATCCTTTAAAAGAATGACAAAGCAATTGTTAGGTCAAAGACCTTCATTGGTCATATCCTTTTTTTTGGTTATATAGTGATTTTTGGCATGTTTTAATTTAATTAATTTCAGTCATTCTACATTAAGTTGAGTTTCGTATTGTAGTACGTAAACAAGAGTAGGATCCTTTTTACATTTTGCGTGATGAATACGTTTAGATGCTGTTGGCTTCTAAAGTCATATTAAAAAAAATAGTAGCCTTTTCAAATACAGAAATGTGTCAATTATTGGTTTAACAAATATGTATTTCTTTGTTCTGCCTTTAATAACCCTTTATAATTGTTTTACTGTTAATAATTGTATGTTCCCTTACCTGCACCATTTAAACACTTTTTTTTTCTGTAATAGAATTTAACCCAACATAACATGGACAATTAACATTCAATATAATACCTATGATTTCACAGTTGGAAACCTTATAGTTGTTGTCTTTTAATGTAATCAACTGTAGACTCGTGATCTGTTATTGTACAAATCAAAGTATATAACAAATGTGCCTTTTAATTAAACGCCTCTAATCTGCTATTAATCAAGAACCAAACGACTTTCAGGTGTGAAGCCTTATTGTGAGTTTCCTATAATTACTGACACCAGCCCATCAACACAGTGGCTAACTGATGACCCCTTGTGGGAGTTATCTGTCTTGATGAAGCAGTCATTGTCATATCATTGGTATGTAAATGAACAAGTAACTAGCTTGAGTGATTTGTTGTTTGACACATTTATTAAACAATATGTATGTTTACGTATTTTACTACGACAAACTGAGCATCTTAGGAACTGAGAATGTCTTTAAGGATGGGTAATGTACCTATTGTGTCGTAATAATTTAAAACTACAATTAGTAGTTTTTAATCTGGTAATGTAAAAGCTTAAATTCACAATCAGTCAATTTGCATAGTTCAAATGTTCACAAAGACTGCTCTTCATATACTATTATAACTTGTCTAAACAGAAGTTTTAACATTTGGTTATAGCTACAATTTGCCCTGTCTATGCCCATTTCTAAGCAGTTTGTAAGAGAAACTTATATTCAACAGAATATACAGTACATTTACAATAAACCATCTTTAAAATGAGTATATCCACACATCAAACTTAATGAAATTCTTGACACTAACATACACATGACAATAAAGAGGATTAAATCAGTTTGCTTCACTACTGAATCATCAAATAAATACAGCTTAATTTACATCCAGTTACAACGACTAGCCTTCAGAGGCTTTAACAAATCAGTCACATGTCAGACAGGGGTATCTTTGAGATCAGCGGATGCCGAGTATCTGCCTGCTCTTGAACTGACATGTCTTCTCAACTTCATTCAGTGTCTGAGCGCGCAGGTTGGCCGCATGCAGCCTCCTCAAAATCATCTCCTGGGACGTCCCGCTCGGATGCCCATCTGGCCGCTGGTTCTCTTTGCTCTCACCAGCAAAGTGGACTTTCTTTGTGCCCGGAGAGAGGTTCTCCAAATCTAGGACCAAACAGTAAGGAGGTTCTGATTAACTTTGATCAAGCAGCCCTCATAAAATTATTTGCAATCCAACATGACAGCTAGATTTCACATAGTTAGGGTAAGTAATAATTCTTTATTTGTGTATAAAAACAATGTTTACATGAATAAATAAGTAATAAATATGATTTCAGTCATTCACATCCCAAACAGAAGCATGGACCCATTAAAACATTGTTCAGTAGTTGTCTTGGTTCAGTACTTGCAGAGGTATCCGTCTTATTCCCATACCTATGTCTTTGCCATCCCTCTGCTGCTGCAGGCGGTTGCAATTCTTCAGTAAACTCTCTGCTCTGTAACCGTAGATCAGAATAAAGAGTTAGCAACAATCAAGTGTTAAGAATAACAATGTAGGGTAAGCAAAATAAAATAAATTATGTATTGATTGTTTTATTTCTAGACTCCTAAAAAACAAACAAGTGTACCTTGCGAGTTTCTCATTTGACAGTCGCTCACGGACACAAAGCTCCTGCTCTCTTTCTGCATGAAGGGACATAGGATACCATTAAATATTTGCACAAACTTGAGAGGAATATATGAATTTAAATATATCAGTGCAATACTATTTACACCTAAACAATGATATAGAGGAACAAAAATCACAAAAGAAAATGCAGGTTAGCAGGGGTCATACTGGGCTAGAAAATAGAAAGAAGAAGAGTAGAAAATAATCTTACGCTCCAGCCTCTCCTCACGTTCCTTCAGTGCCTTTTCTCGGTCGCGTAGCGCTTGCTCCCGGAGTCTGAGCTCTGCGGCGGGGGCGGGTGTCGGGTCAGCCGCTTTGTTAGGAGGACTGTCGGAGTCTGCCGTCCTCCTTTGGAGTCGAGCCTGTGCCCTCCTCAGCTCCTCAGCAACCGCCTCGGCCAACAGGCTGCTCTGGAGAATAGACTCCACAGAGGGCCTCAGATAGTCCTAACCATAAACAAACATTATTACTGAATCCTACCTTCATGAAAACACAACCCGACTAGCTGGTAACACAAGTACATTCTCTGTCAAAATGATTTCTAACCTTCAGGTTGAGCATTTTGCACAGTAAGTTGTTGAGTTGCTCAGAGTACCGGTACGGGATTCTTCTGAACTTCCCCTCCCTGATCTTTACTGCAAGTTCTTTTTGACGGTAAGCAGTAAATGGAGGGCTAAACAAAAGGAATCCAGGAGAAATGTCAGAGTCACAGTAAACAAACCACCTGCTGGGAAATTAGCTCAAGCAGAGGAGTAAAAAGACACTTACGACAATGCACAAAGTTCATACAGCAAACACCCCAGGGACCATATATCTGACTTCTCATTGTATGACATCCGGTCTATTTGTTCCTGGAAGAAAATGTTTGGACAAATGGTGGCAGATCAGACGACAACGAGTTATGATGTTAACAATATTTGTCTTTAAATGAAAAGGGTAATTTGGTAAGACACAGCAGATTTAAACAACTCACTGGAGACATGTAGTAAGGTGTGCCGACAAATGTCTTTGCAAAACTGGTGTCATGGTTCAGGATCCTCGCGAGGCCAAAGTCTCCGAGCTTCACATTCTGTTTGATGTCGAGGAAGATGTTGGCTGGTTTCAGGTCTCGATGAAGGACTGTAGCCCTGCCGTCACTGCGTCTGTGGCACTCCTTCAGGGCCAACATGAGCTGTGCCATGACTCGCAGGACAAACTGCTCCTCCAAATAACGACTGGAATGGTAAAAAACACACTTGGTTACCCCTGCATACTGTCAGGAAGCGGATGTACAGTGGAGGGAAAGAAAAATAAACATTTTACAATTAACAAAAGTATAACCCACCCTACTTTGATGCATTGGGCGATGAGGCTGGACAGGTCCCCACCCTCGCAGTACTCCATGACAATGTACAGCTTGGCATTGATCCGGTCTATGATGCGGTCATAGTACTTCACGATGTTTGGATGCTTGAGCTCCCTCAGGAGGTTCACCTCTGACACCAGCATCTGCTTTTCACTCTCTCCCATGGTGCCATAGTCCAGCTCCTTCCACACAAGGATCTACAAAACTTGATTATTTCATCCTTGTAGAACTAAAAAAATGTGAATAACTAAATTCATTTATGATACATTGTCAGAAAATCAGTGGTATAACAATACATATCTAAAAAGGTCACCGATAATAGGTTACAGGTCAATTAAAACAAAAATAGTGTAGCAGCAAAACCCCTGAGAATACCGAATTTAGTTTTATGGTTTACTAGTTTATCCTTAAGCAGTTTGTTTTGTTTTCTAAAGTTACTTTAGAAATGTTTTACTTTAATCCACTGCTGCCCTTTCAGCAGCTTCTTCTGGAATGTTAAGTTCTCCATTTCCCAAGGTGTTATATTAAAATATAATTTCAAGCTGTAAATGGACGTTTCACATTTAAATGTTCAATTAAACATCCATGGGGTCATGGCCAGATGATTATTTAACCACCTGATTGGGAAGCATCCGCCATAGTGTTTTTAATTAATTTAATTAACTACACCTGTGCATGTTCCTGCTGACAAACAGGGTTGACCTTTCTCCAGAGTTTACTTTATTTGTTTTGGTAAATATATCACGTCATTTGCAATACATTTATGATGTGGTTTTATAAATCAGCACACAATAATAAACGGTGTCATGGCTGAACACAGACTTCCGTTCAGGTTAATGATAAACTACCTGAGTTACGTTTCAAGAGGGGAGTGAACAAAACATTTGTAGATTACTCACTTTCCCATCAGATTTTCTTCTTATTTTCTGGCATTTTCCATAGGAACCCGTTCCTATGGTGAACAGCAACTCGTAGTCTTCAACACGGGACGGCATCTTAACGTTTTCAACCGAATCTAACGTTTAAAAGCTACCGGACTTTTCAATAACGTTAGGATATACTCGGCTGTAAACATAAAGTTTAACCAGCGACTTTAGAAATAGTCTTCGACTTTACTCATTTGTTGGTGATGTATTTTTCCCGATAAAGATGATTAAATACACCAAAGGTTTGGCTTTTGGTCCTTCACTTGTGTGTATTGCAGTCAACAAAACAGGAAGCGTTTGCTCGCCGTTTAAATCGGTGCCCAAATACTCGATCGTGATTGGTCTGCTCTCTCCGCACAGTGACAGTTGATTGGTCAAAAGGCAGATACAAGTTGTGAGGCTGCTAAGCGCCTGAAACCCGCGAGAGTAGAGCGGGTAAATGAGAGGTTCAACTTTCCGCAGGGTGGCGCCAAAAACTCACAGTCAGATCAAAGATGTTCCTATGTATGTAAGTTATATTAATATTAACAGATGTCTATACCAATGATTATTGTTTTTTTATAGATTGAGTGTCACATTTTTAAAAGCAATTACAAAACATAACCTTGTGCTTGGGAGAGGGGTACTTCCCACACATTGTTGACAATTCTACAAACTAGAAGGGTTATACAAAAAATGACAGTTCATTTGATTTTGATAATAATTGTTAGTTCCACACCACTACCCAATTCAACTATTACGTTTATTTTCTTTATGCTGCCTATTTAGACATATAAAATATGTATTTTGACAGATTACAGAAGTTGTGTTAACACCCAGACATTCATTCATAACTTTGTCTGTTCTTTGCAGTGTTTATCTCTGAGGTATTGGACTTTTCGTGGTTACACAAGGATTACAGTTAATCAAATATATCTCTATGTTCCAAATACATAAGGATCATATTTAGTTATACACGCTGAGATCAAGTTTAATCCAGCTGGTTTTGGCTGTAGGCCTAGTATATCGTCCACATTTTTATTACATTTCTGATTCCCTGACACATAATTAAAAAGCAGAATTTCATTTAGTTTTGGCATGCTTCAATTATAGATGCTTTAATCCTACATATGAAAGATATAAGATTATCTTTTATTACAGGCGGTCTTTGTTGTCTGATTGGTGCCTGAAATAAACACAGTTTTTCTGTCAGTAAAATCTCCCTCAGCGGGGAAGCCTCAGTAACAGTTGTGTTCAAATGATCCTCTCAGCCTCTTCCTGCTCTCTGCTGCCAGTACCACACACTGACACCACCCAGAGAGCAGAGCCGGGCTGTCTGTCGGCCTGCCTCTGCAAAGGTCACTCCTACAAAGAGCTGGAGGAGTTTGGACATCAGCCAGGAACAGAGGAGGGAGGAGGGGGGGGGTAGAGCGGAAAACTGACAGCTAAAAACAACAGAGACAGTCAGGTGCCTGAGGGCGGGCGCTCTCACGTCACTGTTAAAGGCCAGGAGTTGAGAGGGAGCGACAGACAGCTACATCACAGGCTAACCTCCTCACCCCCGCTGGGGTCACTGTGATGCTGTGAGGGGATACAGGAGGCTTATGGTGCTCATGCCATCTCTGACTCCTTTTCTCTTTTGGATGCAGTTTAAGTCAAAGTCATGTGTCCTTGTGTTCAAGGACACATACAAAGACTCCCTTTTAGTATATGCCTCAGGTCTGTATGTTAGGACACCACTGTTGTGATACTGAATTAAGGTAATACTAGTTATATCAAAGGAAAGGTTGGCATTTTCAGAAAAAGCAAGCTGAAAGTTTTCCTATACAAAAAATAAGGGTAGCCTATATGGCAAAGCTTTGCGTTTCTTCATCTTAAAGCCACCCTATGGCAGTCCATCGTGGTTTCTCCCCATTTTTTGTAAACAAGTGCACCAAGTGGGGCTGCACCAATACTGCCCTATGATTCAGATCTGCTGATAAATGTAATGGGTTCTTCCTCGGCCTATGCTTTACCATTCCACCAAGTTTCATGAAAATGAGGCCAGCAGTTTTTCCATATTCCAGACCGACTTTGATTCTGGAAAAAATGCAATGCTTTGAGCACCACACACCAAATTCTGTTCACCTCCATTGTAATGGGGTGGAGGCAGAAAACTCATAGAACGAAACTGAATTTATCAGCGTGACCCCATTTTGGACAAATGTTCTGTATGTTTTGTAAAACCCTGATGATCAATAATCTACTTTCCTGCATTCGTATTAAAGTTTCCCTTTACATCATAATTCACTGTTGCTCTCCTGGGACACACAATAATGACATATGGGAATTGTTGACACAATATGTATTTGCATGAGGAGCATTTGATCCTAACAACACTGAGGGTCCTTCCGTCTGTCATCAGGAGACACACCGGCGGCTGCTGCAGTGACATTCGGCTCCTTCTGTTCTCTCCACAGCTGGATGTTTTAGTGCTCGCTGACTCGAGGGACGCTGCCTCCACCATTCACCACTGCTTTCACGAGGAAGCAGGCCTCGAAGCGTGACACTGAAGACCTTGGAGAGCGCTGCCCGTGAAATAGTTCATTGCAGGTGTCCGAGCCTCTGCAGCGGACACAAAAGTCCCTCTGGAGACTAATTTGTCTGTGTAATGTGGATGACCTCAGGAGGAGCTGTACTGAGGAGCCTCAGTGCATGGTGATGTTACTGCTTCTGGATTTGTGCACCACGCTGAGCAACAGCCACCGTGGATCCTGACTGTTGGCCCTTTGGTAGGTGAAGCTTCGTGCAAATGTAATCCCATTTTCCAGATCACTTCCCGCTGTTTTTCACCCTCAGCTGCCCGGAGCGTGAGGCCTTCCTGCAGACCCTCCACACATGACTCCAGATGCTTTTGAAATGTAAATGGCTGATGTAATGCAACTTGACCGTCTCAAAGAAACTTTTCCAGGATATTCCGTGAATGACTCGGGCAAGCATCCAAAAGGACGTGGATGTGTGCAGAAATCCCCTTTTCTTTAAGACACTTGAAACACAAAGGTTATTGTTGCATTGTTAAAGAGGCCCTTTTATGCGTTTGGGGTTTTCCCTTTCTTTTGGTGTGTTGTGGCTTTTGTGCATGTAAATGGTCTGCAAAAGCTGAAATCCCAAAGTTCCCTCCAGAGGGAGTTGGAAACGCCTCCATTGGACTCCTTGGTTTGCTTCCGTAACATATTGAGATCTCTATGTAGCGCTACCACGTGATAGTCAATGTTGGGGACATCTCTAAACGGTTGACCAATCACAACAGAGTCTGCAAGCTAACCAATCAGAGCAGACTGGGCTCTGGTTTCAGACAGAGGGTGAAATAAGGTGCTGCATCACAGGCAGTATGAACAAATTAACACCTTTTTGAACATTAAAGCATGGAAACATGTCACAGTAGACACAAAATACAAAAATTAACCTGAAAATGTGCATTATAGGGCCCTTTGAACATGTGCCCTATCTAGCTTTAACTACATTTATAGTGAGTACTCTACAGATATGTTTTATGAACACAAAGCATGAAAGAACTCCACATCTACAACAACAAAAACGCTCCTCACATATGAATGCAGGTGATGACAAATACTATATGGTGTATTACTCAATGACAGTACAAAGAAGGACTTCACTTGTGTTACTTAAACTGCTGTCAATAATGTATTTTTCACTCCCTTTACTGAATGCTGCTTCATTAAAACCTTTTTATTTCTCTCATGGCCCCCTTGGTCCAATATCTGACCACACCTCCACATTGATAATTTCTCCAGGAAGTCACACACATATGTGCAGTGGGCTTGGTCCTTACAGGAAACGCTGATAACCTCGTTGTGGTGGATCATGCAGCAGTGACAGTCAGGAGAGCTCTGCAGTCTTTCGCTGAGAGTTCCCACAGACACCAAGCGTCACGTCTGAAATCAGAGCTCTGTAATGTAAACCAGACTTTCAACAGCTGGTGAGCGACACTACAGTTAAACAACAAGCCCAGGACGGAGCAAACACAGGCTCTAGTTACCTGGAGACCGTCCTCAGCTTGTAACTGAAAGAGAACATTTTAACGTTGACATTTGAGATTATTTAAAGTGACAAGTTATTTTTCCCTTTGTAATTCCTACAAGAAGAATCGCTGGAGAGTTTGATATTAAAGGAACATACTCATTGGTTTCTTGCAGAGCTCAAGTTATGGGATGATTGCTACGACTCCCTGTTTGTTAAATATAAAGCTAGCATTTTAGACAAAATATATCCCTTCAATAATTATCCAAAAATACTTATATCAACATTGAGTGTTAACTTTTCATTATGTGATTTGATCATAATAAATATAACATTGAATTCATTGTAAATGTATTGATTGTATATGGTACATTTTAATTCAAATAAATTGACCATATTTCAGTGGATTTGTATTTGAGTTTCAGGAATATATTAAGACTCTTAAATACAAACAAATGTGGTTAAATGTACTTTTTCAAATTCATATTCTAGTTTTTCTGTAGCATTATGCAAAGCACATGTCTGAAATATTTGTATAATTAAATGTTTAATCAGTAAAGATAAATAAGCAGAGTTCCCAAAACGTCAAACTAATTATTTCTTTAGGTCCAGGGTGTTCGTAAATGAAAAGCTGTGGCTGTGGAGGAACCGAACAGCAAAGGAATAACACTTTAACATTTACTGTGATACAACACTGTTAATGTTATATGGAATAAAACGTGTCAAAAGAAAAACCTTACACTGTTAGGATCTTTATGATGTTTTATTCCAGCACAAGTCTTTTGTGTTGTAAAATGGCTGTGTAGCTAGGAATTAAAGGAGAAGTACAAAATGGTAAATTACAGACAGCTCTAGAATAATTTGTTTAAATCCCTATTGTGTTTATTTCCTAAAACCACATCAAGGAAAAACATTATTTCCCTGCCTTCTTTGGAAACATGGTCAGATAATACAAAAATAAAATAAAATAAAAAGCTGGAGACAAAAAATAGGAAAAAGGGTGAAGCTTCAAGTCACTCTCACACTGGAGGGGAATCTGAAAGGGCCGCGAATGAATCACATCACCAGCCTGATTTAAACGTGTTACCTACCGGGTCAGGTAGCCCTTTTTTTGCATTTCACTCACAGTTTCTAGCAACAGTGGCACACAGGGAGGGCAGTAAAATACTCAAATGCACCATTTATGCATTCGTTTTTGACAACAATAATTGCTGCTCCACCATCATTTTCCTAATCGAAGCAGGCTAAGCAATTACATAAAATCAACTTTAAACCGGT